GCAGCAGCCATGTCCACCGCTGTCGAAGAACGCACAGAAGAAACTGTTGAAGCAGCAACGATACGAGGTCAAAAAGGCGGAGAAAAAGGCATTGCTGAAAGAGCAGAAGAAGAGAGAAGGGGAGCGCAAGCGTAAGGAATGGGAGGAGAAGCTGGCTGGCGCCACCGAAGAGGAGAAACAACAGTTGATAGAGTCGAGGAAGTGCTTAAGGAAAGAGAGAATGGACCAACGCTCAGATGAAAAAGGAAAGAAGATGCAGAGGCTCACTAAAGCTAAAGAAAATGGCCAAAATGTAGTTATTGATCTCGAGTTTGATCACCTCATGAATTCCAGTGAGCTCCATAGCCTCGTTCAACAGGTTTCTTTCTTCTTTTTTTGTTAAGTTTCAATTTTACACTAAACACATTTTTGGTGAAATAGTGCCTTTTTCACATAAAATACTTTCGATGTTAGATTCTTGAAGCCTAAAGTCACTGTTTTTTGTTTCAATATCCTTTACCTGATTTGGTTGTATAGGGTTTCTGTGACAGTTGCAGAATACTTGAATACCCATGGCATGAAGCTGAATCTTGAATTAATTCTTCCTGTTTCTTGCTGCTTTACAAATGCACTTTTATCTTACATGTTCGAAGCGAACAAGCTAAAGCTATTGGACTTATGGCAGATCATGTACTGTTATGCGGTGAATGGAAGGTGTAGTTGTCCTGCTCACCTCTGGTTGACTGGCTGTCAAGGAGAAATGCAAGCTCAGTTGCAAAGACTACCAGGTTTTGACAAGTGGGTAATTGAAAAGGAGAACCGGCCATATATTGAGGCATTCCAAGATCAGAAGGAACGCCTTGTATATCTTACTGCAGACTCAGAAACAACGCTAGACGTCCTTGATCCAAAGCATATATATATCATTGGTGGGTTGGTGGATAGGAATCGGTGGAAAGGGCTAACCATGAAAAAAGCAGAAGACCAAGGGATTCAAACAGCAAAACTCCCAATAGGAACTTACCTAAAGATGTCTAGTTCCCAGGTATGTTCAGTATTGTGAATCAATAAATCATTGAGCTACTTCTCTATGTTGCCTTCAGACCCTGCATTGTAAACTATGTTAATGAGGTAATATCTGAGTGCTTGCAACCTTCTTTATGCTTGACAATTGTGTTTGCTGGTTAAGACGATTATTTAAGGTGTGCTACTACTCTATGTGCCTCAGTTAATTCACCTGAAAAACAGCACTGACTAGTAAGCCTCTCAATATGTTTTGAAGCTGAACACTAAAGAGACTGCTCCCTTTATCTATGCTGGAAGAAAATCTAAAGACTGTTTCTTGACTTGCTAGATGAACTTTCTTTAAATGCTTTGCCATGTTTCTGTAGGACATCAATGAAGTGCTATGCTTTTTTTTCCAGATAATATAAAGTTGGGTGCTTTGACCTCTCTTGTTAAAGGATGTTAATAATCAGCAGATTGGATTATTGACTCATAGTTTTCTAGAGTACTAGGGTTAGGGTCTCCATAGAGTTAAAGCATCGAAATGCTTAACATATGAATGTATTCCGAGGTAAAAGACACATCACTAGCAATAACATGTATAAACTGTTAGTTTCAAATTGTTGCTGGTATTTCATAGTGAATTGAAACTTCCTAGAACTGAGAGTTCAGGATTGAATTATTCAATAGGCACTGGGAGATCATAGGACATACATACTAGTCTGAGAGACTGGCTATTCAGGTTTATCTTGAAGCCAAAAGAATCTTGTTTGTGTTTCCTTCAATATGCACCACTTTAAGCTATCCAGTTCTATGGTAATAATTCAATATTACCTTGAATCTTGATCAATATATCAAAGATGTTGGACCTCTAATTATCTTATATGTATTTAGTGGCACCATTATCTTTCTAGTAATGTTTTGGTTTATCATTTTGAGCATATATGTTGTCAGAAAAGATGTTTTTAATATAAGCAACATGATTGATCCAGTAGTGTATCATTGAAATTTGAAGCCACTAGGCAGATGCATGAATAGTGAATCTTATATCTTTTGGCACAACTAATGCTGGCTAATCAACTGATTTTTGTGTGCCCCATCCCCCATCCCCCACCCCACAACCCATCCGCTCTCAACCTATTTTAACCATTCCGTTTAAAATATGGGTCAAGCGGTTTTGAACCTGTTATAAAATGGGTTGAAAAGGGGTTCTAAACAGCTCAAGAGCCATTTGCCAGCTAATTTTTCTATCTTAATCAATAGGCATCATCTCCTGCTTCCACCTTCAAATCATCACTATGTAATATGAAAAAGTCAGAAACCAAATGATTAGTGTAAAAGGATAGCCATAATGGTTTCTTTTATAATAAAGACATTAAATCATTTCTCCTCTACTTGAAAATTGAGATATGTACTGTATTGAGTTATTTCTGGCTTATGAGTTTAATTAATTTTTTTTCCATGCATGTTTAGAATTTCCAGCAAAAAGAACAAAATAATTGAAGTCATTACACCTCTAATTTAACATTAATTAAGAAGGCATAATACATAGATAGACACTTTAACTTGGCCTCAGTTGACAAGTGACAACTAAATATTACTTTGAGAATGCACATCTAGACACTTCAACTTGTCCTCATTGTGTCTCATGGACACCAAATGCTGAAGTGACACATAATTGGAGATGTCTAGATGATCATTTCGTAAGTTGGAGTGTTCAACTGACACAGTGGAGACAAGTTGAGGAGTCTAGATGTGCTTCCTTAAAGTCGTTTATCCATGTATAAAAACTCTGAAACCAAAATATTTCAAATCAACGAACTGAACGCTAATATGCTCAGGTCATGGGGTTCTTCAATAGAGGGCACATAAAGGTTAGGTGTATCATGGGGCTCTTGGATCTTGAGAGAACATATGATTGGTGGTAACATATGGAAAGTCTGAATGCTCCAATTTTTTGTTGTTAGACTGGTAAAATGGTCAATAGTAGATTCTCTTTTCTTGCCAATAAATTGTTAGTGGCCAGTTTACTATATGGTATGTGTAGAAAATTGTGAAAACACTGTTTGTCTAACATGTATTTTTCTTGTGCAGGTCCTTACAGTCAATCAAGTGGTAGAGATACTTCTGAAATACTTGGAGACAGGAGACTGGAAAACTTCATTCTTTGAAGTGATTCCACAGAGGAAAAGATGTGAGGGTGATAATGATATTGAACAGGATGAAGATACGGAAGGGAAAGATGATCACGAGATAAAAATACGTGATATTGAACTGGAAGAAGAGAGTGAAGAGAAAGATGATCAAGGTTCTAAAAGACAGTGCATTGAGAGTTGAAGTTTCAAAAGCTTCCACTAGATCCTATCAGAATAGTTGGTGGTATCATCTTTGTTCTCCAGAACTTGTCCTGGAGAGACGGCAATTACAGTGAAGCTCGCCTTATTGAGAAGGTGCTTGGCTTCAGTTTTCTTTTTGCACTATATGACTTTGTTTCTTCCTCGTGTTGTTCCTCATCTTTTTGGGTACATAAGCATGTTGGGAAGAATAATTTTGATGTATTATGCTTCAGCAAACTTTAGATGGCAAACAGATGATATGCTTTTTTTTTCTCTGATAGATTTGACCAAAATACTGTCCTAGCTAAGTGTTCTTCCTGCACTGTGTAATCCATTACAGAAAATTGATCAAGGCCCGAAGGTGTAGATTGGTTTTAAGGATTTTGCATCAAAATAAAAACAAGTCACAAGCAACCACTAACCGAATACTCAAAATAGACCAGGCAGCATTATATACTATGCTAACAACCGATTGGAGAGGCCACCATTCAGCTCACTTAGTTGGAAAGAAACATTCCTAAACTTTGCAAAGAAGTATCCTAGATTAGGTAACAGAGAAACTTGAAGTTTCAACAACAGCTCAATCAATTCCTTCAGCAGAGAAACTGATCGCACCACTCCTCTGTAAGAGAGTCATCACTTTCCACAGCACACTGAGAAGTGATCCCATCCCCCTGCATATAACTAGTGTTGGCTGGCCATTGGTGGTGGACCTGCATGGTGATGAGCTATTGGAGGCAGCAGGTGATCAAGCATTGGGCGCTTCTCCCCTCTCAAAGTTACACGCTCACCACCATCAAACTCACGATAACGATGCAGGTAGAAAGTTAAGGGTTCAATGTAGTCATCAAAACCAAGCTTGCTCATTGCCCAAAGCACATCTTCAGCAGTGATGGTCTTACGCTGGCAACGCTCATTGGCTTCACCAGTTACAAAGCTTATGAACTCAGAGACACATTCTTGGATGGTCTGTTTGGAGTCATCAGATATCTTGGCACGGGGAGGAAGGATCCGGCGCATGACTCTAATCACGTTTGCTATTGGCATGAATCGGTCTTGCTCCTGAATGGTGCATTCAGAATCTTGGTTGAGATGAGCAGGCACTCCCACCCGTAGCTTAATTTCCACAACACGATAACAATTTGCATCAAATTCGAATGAAAAAGTATATCATCAAAAGCTTGAGATTTTTAATTTGTGTGCTGTTTCAAACTTGGTAGCTAGTTAAGTGAATGTAGTATATAATGTGCATTTGTAAAAGTAAAAGAGAATTAACTTACCAGGTGTAGGAGGGAACCATGAGTATCCTCCATTTCATGAACCACCAACATTATTTTCTCTCTGGAGCTCTCTAGATATAGACGGGCGTAATGAACGAGAAGAAGAGTTGACCGGATCATTTAATTCCCCTTTTCTCCTTTCTCAACAATTTATAGTTCCAAAACTCCCCCATAAGTTCTGCACATTTTCATTACCGATAATTAATTGTTATTTTTGCTCTAATGGTGTTTAGCAATTATTAATTGCTCTAACGAATCCGATTCAACTCAAAGTGGGGTTTAATCTTTTTCGGTAATTGGATAATTAATCAAATTTTGATTGATAAATTCCTTGATTTAGATTAAGTTTAAAATTACACGAAATTTACAAATGAAAGATGATATGCAGTAACAAAAATCTAGCATATCCGCGGGAGAGTTAGGATTAAATGTGTGTTTCACCATTAAAATCAAATATAATTCACTTGATTTTGGGATTTTTAAAGTTCAAGTTGGAGTGACCGTTAAAATCAAATATAGTTCACTTTATTTGGGATTTTTAAAGTTGAAGTTGGAGTTAAAATTATGTTTAATCAATTTAAAATTTGAATATACTTTTTCTAAATCTAATTTATTAGATTAGAAGTCTATTATATGAGTATTGATATTATCCATTACTTCTTATTATGTAAAAATATACTTACTTATTCTATTACAATATTTTTTTTAAATTTAAAATATGTCCTTTTAGAGTGTGTTGGTATGAAGGAATATATTCAAGACATCGCATTGAAAAATCGCATAACTTTATGTTTCTTTTATAAATTAATGTTTGTGATTACAATCTTTCAAATTCACATAAATTATAAAGACTCTAGTACTAATTAATTAATATAATTCTTTCACATGATACATACAATCTCTTCATGATGAGTAGAGTTGTCAAAAAAGGTTGGCCCAACCCCCACCCGACCCAAGCCTCACGGGCCAAGAAATTTGAAGGGCTAGGGCATACCGACCATTCATTTAGAAGGGCTTGAAAATGCTCAACCCAACCCTAGAAGGGTCGAGGGCTGGGGTGGGCTAGTCTTCTTTTTTTTCAAACTTCAAATTCTATAACATAAAGAAAATGAGAAGTTTTTCAATTCAAATATGACAAACAATGTTGTTGTTTCAATAACACTAGCAAAAAATCTAGCGTGATTAGCATGTATCTCGCATACCAGATACGCGAGTGAGATAAGAGAGTGACAAGCAAGATGGGAGGGAGGTGAGGGCGCAAGATTTTGTCTATGTATCCTAGATACATGCAAATCCACTTGGATAGAGTGTATCAAGAACAAATTAATGGGTAAATTGTGCATAATGACAAACTATTAATCTAAAATAAATAACATAGCTATTGTTTCATTTATTTCCTTTGAGTAGCTATAGTTTCGCATATCTTGCTACTGACGGGTCCCACGAATTTGTATAAGTAAATAAAAAAACGGAAGTTATTCCTTTTATACAATTCACTTCATCTCCTTCCTCTCTCACATACCCTTCAATTTCTCCTAAATTCTCTCCACAAAATTAGCTTGAATTTCAAATCTTCACCACTACGCTCTCAATTGCGACTTCAAAAATTTCAGGTACCGCCAAAACCTGTCTAAATCGATTTTTTTTTCAATTTTTCAGATCCAAGTTTGAAAATGACCCAATTAGAATGGATGAAATTATCACAAAGTCAAATACAAAAGGCGAAGATAATTCAACAAAGAAGAGGAAAGCAAAAGCAAATGATTCTACCAGCGATCAATCAAAATCATCTGAAGACATTGTCCCTGGCTTAGTGGAACCGGATGGATCTGAAGAAGTTAAAGTATATGTATAAACAGTAATTATTGAGTTCTATTTTATGATTGTATAATAAGCTCTTTTGTATATATATAGTAATACTTTCTCTTATTTGTTTGTTTTTACATATTTGTATAATTTTTTTATTATTTGTTTGTATACACCATTATCATGCATATGAATTTCCTTTATACAATTATATGTTGTATAAAAATCTATTGTATATATATTGCATTTGTTTGTATATAATTTGTTGTTTGTATATGTGTCATAGTTATACATAACAAGACCTGTCTGTATAATTTCTTTAAGTATATATGTGATAATTTTGTTTATATACAATTACTATGTTTTAGTTTGTTTATACATATTCTATAAATTTTGCACAAAAGACACTTTATATACAAGTGGCAGTAGATATTAGCATTTGTTTGTATATAATTTGTTGTTTGTATATTTTCCATAGTTATACATAACAATACATATCTATATAAATTTTTATTTTTTATTTTTACCCTCCCTAGGAGCTCCCACCCCATTTACTCCCTTGGTGACTCAAACTCGCAACCTTCGGGTTGGAAGTGAGGGGTGCTTACCATCCGAGCAACTCCCTCTCGTCATATCTGTATAATCTCTTTATGTATATATGTAGTAATTTTGTTTATAAACAATTACTATGTTTTAGTTTGTTTATACATATACAATGGAGTCCCAACTAATGAAGAAGTCGTAGAAGGAATGAAATCCTATTAAAATATAATGTGCGTGAGTTTAGCGATTTTCTTCTTCTTTTTTTGTAACAGAAATTAGCACATTTTTCTTTATTTATTTTTTAAAATCAAATTGTATATAAATTGGCAAGATTACCGAAATATACAGATAAAAAAATCACAACAAAAAAAAACATATACTTAACAAATTATAGCCAAGTCAATTTAATATACAGATGCCAAATATATTCTTATACAAAGTTTATTTACATATACAAATTACAGCCATATACAAATATTCAATTGACAAGCCTAACATAATAGACATATACTTATACATATTGTATATAATATACAAACTAAATTATCACAACAAAACACGAGCCTGACTGAATTAATATGCAAGTTCACAAAAATTGAACCACAAAATATAAGATTATACATAACAGACTAAATCATATACATATTCTACGTATATACATATACAAAGAGTATATATATATATATAAACTACAACTACAAATAAATATATAATTGACAAGCATAACATAAAAGACTTAATTATACATATACAAACTAAACTATCAGAACTAAGTACGAACTTGTATTGTATATATATACAATTTCATTGTTCATTCATAGATTCAAATTAACGACAACAAATATGCAAATAAGAACAAACAATATAGGTTAGTATCATAATATACAATACTGTAAATTAATGACTTTCAAAAAACAAATCTACTTTCAAAAATGAAGGATAAACAACAATATCTTCCACAACATTATAGAATCACAATTTTTTGCAGAAATAAACGGATGATCTTACTCGAATTCGAACAATACTTTCAAAAATGAAGGATAAATAACAATATCTTCCAGAACATTATACAAGCACAAATTTTCGCATAATTCAACGGTTGATCTTACTTGAATTCGAACAGTGATTGTGACTATATGAGTTAGAATCGATTACATCTAAAAAATACAATTCGAATTGTTCATTCAATTGATGAATGTTTAAAAGCAAAAATGAGTTTCAATACACGAAGAACACCAATTTCGATCTTTAAAAAAAAGGTAAAATCCAAGCATTTTTCGGCATGAAATACATTTTAGCTCCTCTTGTTATCTCTAAAATTGATTTGATCTCGATTGCTTGAAGAGAATCACCAAAGCTTGATCGATGTGATTTACCCATTTACAATGGGGTCACTACCCAGTTACAATGGAGTCACTAATGATGAAGAAGTCGTAGAAGGAAAGAGATCTTTTTGCGTGAGTTTAACGATTGTCTTCCTTTATTGTAACAAAATTTACAGTCTTTTATTAAATTTATTTAAAAAATAAAATTGTATATAGCTTCGAATGAATCCTGAAATATACAGATTAGTAGCTCCATAACAAACATAAAATTTGCTATGGAACACAATTATGCAAACTATAGCTATAGCATACAAATAAGATATTTATCTTTGCTATATCTAAAATTTCCTCTTGAAAAATCGCATAACTTTATGTTTCTTTTATAAATGAATGTTTGTGATTACAATCTTTCAAATTCACATAAATTATAAAGACTCTAGTACTAATTAATTAATATAATTCTTTCACATGATACATACAATCTCTTCATGATGAGTAGAGTAGTCAAAAAAGGTCGGCCCAACCCCCGCCCGACCCAAGCCTCACATGCCAAGAAATTTGAAGGGCTAGGGCAGACCGACCATTCATTTATAAGGGCTTGAAAATGCTCAACCCAACCCTAGAATGGTCGAGGGCTGGGGTGGGCTAGTCTTTCTTTTTTTCAAACTTCAAATTTTATAACATCAAGAAAATTAGAAGATTTTCAATACAAATATGACAAACAATGTTGTTGTTTCAGTAACACTAGCAAAAAATCTAGTGTGATTAGCATGTATCTCGCATACTAGATACGTGAGTGAGATAAGAGAGTGACAAGCAAGATGGGAGGGAGGTGAGGGCGCGAGATTTGTCTATATATCCTAGATACATGCAAATCCACTTGGATAGAGTGTATCTAGAACAAATTAATCTAATTTTGAGTCCATATATTTTGCGATACATGTATCTTGACTTACCAAAATTTGGTAAGATTCATAATATTACGACATAACGTTCATTTAGGTAACTAGCTTATATACTAGTGAGATCGTTGTAAGTTACCCTTAAGTAAAAAGTTTTGGCCCATGGGCCATCCCCGACCCGACCCCGATCAAGCCTCAAGGGCTAAGAGCTTATATGGGCCGCGCTTATAAACCATAGTTTTAAAATGGGCTTGAAAAATCATATCCCAACCCTACCCCAATAACGAGTTGGGTTGGGTTGGCTCCATGCAAGCCCATTTTGACGTCTCTAATGACGAACATAAGTGTTTTTTTGTTGTTGTATTTTTTGTAAAATTTAAAATGAGAAGTCTTTTTTACAAAATACAAAATATAAACTTATGAGTCAATTTTTTTTTTTTATATATATATATATAAATAAATAATAATAATAATAATAATGAAAAATCACGATTTGGAATCTCATAATTTTAAATCATGATGCCAATCACATGTCCAAATATTGATTTAAAATGATGATTTCATATCACAAGTCCAAACGTAAGCTAGGATTACAAGCCAACCCAACCTTAAAGGTAAGGTTTATAAAGCAGTGGTTCAAACCAACTAAATTGTATGAGACAAAATGTTGTTCGGTCAAAAACCGTTCAACAGATGAAAATAGCAAACAAGAGGATGTTGAGATGGATGTGTGGGGTACTACGAGAAATGAGATCACAAATGAAAGTATACGAGATAAGGTAAGAGTGAACTTCACAATGGACAAGATGAGAGATGTAAAATTGAGATGATTCAAATATGTGAAGAGAAGATGCACAAATATCCTAGTTAAGAGGGTAATAGGTTAATTACAATAGATGTAAGGAGAGTGGATATAGGTAGACCCGAGAAAAATTAGGAAAATGTGGCACACATACCCTTTCATATTCAATTATCGCGATAATTTTAAATTTTATGTAGAATAAAAAAACATTTCAAATTTTCAACTTTAGAACCTAAATAGAATTGCCACATTCGGATCCATGATCATATCTTACTAACCCATAGTGAAAGACACTTATATTCATAAAAAAACTTTAAGGTTAATATATTGTCTATTAATGGTCCGTTCGGCGACATCCAATAAAATTGGAACGATACAGATAAAATTAGCCCCTACGCAAGAATGACACATACAAATCGAGAAATGGATCCCTACGCAAGGATGACATACACAAATCAAAAAATGATCCAATTTTTTTCTTATCTATTAATGCACATTCATAATATAATCCTTTCATATAATACACATAATTCATGTTTCATAATTTAATTTTACAGTTACACAGATATTTTACTTCTATAATATTATTTATCATACAAAATCAATAACTAAACTATGCTCCAAGATTGCATTATTATTCTTACAAAATACAAGTTAATAAGAAAAAAATAATTCCAAAGATATGACCCAAAATTAGTTCTATTTTGTATTATACTCGTCCTTTTTCCCCCAATTAGGACTGTGCTTCCGCCCAGACTGGTTTCCACATCCGTCTTCACCCTCGCAGAACCACGGGTCTGTTAGGGTTTACCCCTGAAATTGAGGTAAAGCTTACCTTCTCCTCTTTCTTTTTGCGTCCATAAAAACAGTTGCCATTGATTATCTTTAATTTTCATTTCTACCGTTTAGGTTTCTCTTTAATTGTTACAGAAACAGCAAACCTGAGGTGGATATACTTCCTTTTTGGGTTTCTCCGTCTTATCTTAGTCAGGTACATTTTTGTTTGACAAAAGTTAAAAGGAGGAGAATGATTTTTACTGTTACTTGAGAAAAATGATGATTTGACTGTTTTTATAGTATATTGATACTTTATTTGAGATGATTTAAATGGAGTGACATAGTAGGATTCATATAGCTCTCTCTTGGTATTGAGGCGTAGTTTCTTGTTCACTTGTTTGCGGCATTGAAATTACCAAAGCTCATTATATCCTAAATGGGAAGTGCAACAAACTACTTAGGAGTTGTTTGGTGTGAGACATAGGGTATAATAATCTCAAGGATAAAATGCAGAACTATTTTCCTGCATTTGGTTGGAGGATTATGCAGTCCTTTAGATTATTTATCCCACGATTTATACCTTAGTTATAGTATAAGTTATCCCATATACATGAAAGAATAACTTATCCAAGATAATTTATCATCCTGGGATAATTTGTTCCCAATCAAATTGCCCCTTAGAGTTTTCTGAAAGCAATCAAAAACACCCAAGGGTGTGTTCTGGTGGAAAATGAAGTGGGTGGAGAATCATGAGGGGGCTAAGGTTCAAATCCCAACTGAAGACAAAAAATGCCAGGCGGTTTTTCCTATATGTTTGATTCACCATGGGTAGAGTGGCCTGGTTTCTTGTGTTAGTGAGGAATAGCAGGTACCCAGTGTAATAGTTGAGGTGCGTGCAACGTGATCTTGACATCACCAGCATAAAAAAAAAGGAAAAAAACTAAAGAAAGCAACAACAAATTTGGTTACGCGAACAAGTTGGAATCCAGAAAAATAAAGTTAAAAAAAACTAAAGAGAAGTCTTGTTAAGCATGTAGGATAAACATTCTTCATTCTTCAGTCCTCCACTTTTGGGATTTTACTTTTCCTCGTGTTTGGAGCTGCATTTAACCTATTTGTGTGGCAACTTTGGTGGTTTGCCATAGTAATCACCTAAGCGATTTTGTACTCCAATAAGAGTTGGTCAGTTCTTAAGAGACATATTGAAGACATTTGCTCATGGAATATAGTTGCATAGTGTTGCTGAGTGATTGACAGGCCCTGGGCTGATACTGACTTTTCAGCATTATTTTTAATCAAGTATATGTCTTCTCTTAATTCACCAGTAAGTAATAGTGAAGCATAAAGAAGACGCTCCCTTATACAATAGTTATACAAGTTAAAAATTGGACCCATACATTTCAAAAAAAAAAAGAGAAGAAAGATACCGGGGTCCAGCCTATCCTGCGATGTCCGAAGCCAATACCTTCTAATCATGCTACTCCTGATGAATTAACTATGTAGGTTGAATACTTTTTTCTGACAGATGAATTTGTTGGGTTGTTTGATTAAATGTGATGTGTTACTCAGAGACCAGATAAAATTCTTAAATATTTGGCCAGTCCCTATGATTGCTTGGTTTCCTGATTGTTGATTTTTGGAACCTGCTCTCTTTGATAAAATTCTTCATAAAATCGATTTCCTAATTCATATTTTTCATGTCAATCTGGTATTTGTCTGTTACCATTATCAAAAAAATGTTTATCTTGTATTTGCAGGGATGGGTGATGATGCTTTTGATGGCCCGCAATTGGCAGAAAAGTTGTCCAAGCTTAACAGTTCACAACAAAGCATAGAATGTATCCTTTTTGTTTGTGAAGATTATACTTCATGCATATATTACCTGGTTATATTTTGGGACAGAATTCATCTGTGACTAATTTGGGATCTGACTTGGTAGCAGGCGATTTCCTTTCCATTTCCATTGTTTATCTTTTAGTGGCATTGTTGTTAGCACTTAAATCCTAAAATCAATGTTCAAGTCCCAGCGGAGACAAAAAATACTAGGTGATTCTTTGCATCTATCCTAGCTTTGGTGGATAGAGTTATTTGGTACCTGTTGATGGTGGGAGGTGGCACCATCCCATGGAATTAGTTGAGGTGTGAAAGTCACGGTCATTAAAAATAAAAAATAAAAATTCCTTAAATCAATGCTCTCCTTGACTTAACTACTTGAGCTATTATATCAACTATTTATTATTTTTCTTTAGTGTAAATAATTACATTTGTATCTGCTCTAATTAAGATAAATTTAGAGACCTTCCTCTTGTTAAAAATTACCCTTAGCTTGTGAGTTTTTTTTTTCTCTATTGTGCATATGTAAACTCCATCTTAGTGGTACTTCACAAAGATAATATTTGGTACAAGTAAAAAGAGCTCTTGTTTGCTCTTGCCATACTGTATATAAAAAAGAGACAATTGATACATATATACTTCTCCTGTAAATTCTATGACTTATATCTTTTTCTTGAACGTAATACTTTCAAAAACACATCTTATTCTAAATGTAATTTGTTAATAGTGCTTAATTTCGGGTACTTGTTGCTGGTGGGAGGTGACAAGTATCCCGTGGAATTAGTCGAGGTGCACAAAAGTTGTCCCAGAGACCACGATCATTTTAAAATAAATAGTGCTTAATTTCCGCAATGAATGCTTTTTGGTATTTGGGTATGTTCTTTTTAAAAATTAATAGTAGTTAAGGTGGAGGATTTGTGGCTTAGGTCACAGGTTCAAGCTCCACACCATGCAAAGCGAAGCCCGGTATTTAAGTGGAGAAGGGTAGAGGGGCGGGCCCATTATCCATCGAGTTTAGAAGGCTGTGATTGGTCCAAAGGGCGGGTCACAGACGGATTTCTCGGTTATCAAAAAAATAAAAATAAAATAAATATTAGTTAAACTTTGTGGTTATAATAAAATCAACTATTTACAGTTGAAGACATTTCAAATAAATAAAAGTATGCTTCCGCTAACAGCTTAATCTTTTAGATAATATGGTTACACAACTTTAACATGGTATTAGGACAGGTAGAGATCCTGTTTCGAGTCTCATCACCATCCCTTTTCAAAAAAGAATTTCAACATACTTGATTGGTCGGGCTCGCACGTGAGTGGATGTGTCGAAGATATCCACACTCTTCAATCAACAAGATCAACATGCCATTATTTGTGTTTTGATTTTCTCTTTTTTCATTTCAAATATGCTAAATGCTATACTATAATTTCAGGTGATTTTTTTTTTTGGGTTGATAAACATTAACATTGTATTATATCTAGAACAATTCTTAGGTAGTGAAACCATATTTACAAAAGGGACTCTATAATGCTTCTATCTCTATCTATACTGAATCAAGTACATCAGTATTAGACATAGACTCATTAGAGTATAACTGGTTACACCAAAAACAGAGCAGTAAGATAAAGTTAAGCTTGATCTTCTGCATTTCATTTTCTACACCTTCATAGCATCTGGAGTTCCTCTCCTTCCACACTCTCCACCAGATGCATGCTAGGATGACTTTTTTTTTTGATGAAGTAATTAGTTCTATTGCAGGCATCAAGTAGATGCATAATAGTTACAAAAGCTTAGTTGCAAAACATCAGCTCTCCTTTACATTGTTAGTTAAGAGTCAGGGAGCTGACAAAGTTCAAAAATGAATCAGGGGAATCTAGAGGGGATAAATAAACCCAACTATACTAAAACATGAGGCAATTAGCTTTTAAAGATTGGTAGGTAGTTCATATTCCATCAAAGCATCTTCTATTCCTTTCATTTCAGATACTCCTAAAAATGGCTGCAGGTATCATCTTCCAGATTATTATTTTTTGATGATAAGGGGAACTCGTAGCTGCTACCTTTTGGGTGTGCACAGGGTAGAAACCCCATTGCTATGCAATAGCTCGCAAACCACACGGGAGAGGTAACCTGCACTAGGCAAGCTTGGTGCGACGAGCTCGACCCAGAAGGCAAACCCCTTGCTTTCGCTGGCAAGGGGTTTCGAACTTGAGACCTCCAACATTCTCTTGATGGTGCTATCAACTTTCTAGCAACACCAGCTAATCAAAACATCCCTGATATTCTGAGGCATGACCCATTTGAGGCCAAAAGGAGCTAAAAACATACTCCATAAGTCTGCTGCTATTTGACATTGTAGAAATAGGTGGTTGTGTGTTTCTGCTTCCTTCATGCACATATAACATCTGGTAGCCATTTGAACCTTCATGCATGCTAGGATGAGTTTCCACCTACACCTATTTTTAGCTATTACTCCTACTTCATCCCAGCTTCTTAGAACTTCAGAAACCATGCCTAGCATGACCCATGTTAGGCTTTATAGGTGAGCATACAAACCCTATAATTGATCATATGCCATCATCTGTGATATTAAATAAGATTCCTTTTCATGCCTTGTCCTAACAAACTTCCTTTTGGAAGTTGCTGAGAGTGCCTGTTTTGTTTATGACATGACACTGCGATTAGGTTGGTCAATGTTCTGGTTTTACTGACTTCACTTATCTGAGCACGTTCTACATTTTTCATCATCGTTGTCTTGAAATTAATGTGTGAATGCACCATAAAGAGATTTTCTTGATGATTGATTGTTGACAGCTAGCAGTAGGGGCTCTTGTCTAATATAGCACGAGAAGGTAAGTGTTTATTTTCCTACTTTGAAGTAGTAGAAAATGGTCCTACTTTCCCAATTTTCTTGCAATGTTCTGCTATTCTGGTCATGTTGTGACTTGAGAAAGGCAATCTAGGTGTATTCAGTTTTCTTGTCTTATGCCCAGTAGCATCGGCCATTTACCCTACTTCTCTCCTGATTTGATCAAGTGGTCATGTTAGAGGTATAAACAATCATTGATAATTAAGTTATGAGATCCCACCAGTATTTGATCAAAAGTTGTAATCAAAAATATTTTTGTTCTCCTCTCAGTTCTCTTATTGTGATTTTTTAAAACTAGAGGACACGTGTCTCTACGTTTCGTTAAGTTATAGCAGAGTTCAATCTACTTAACCTTTTTTTTACTGATTAAGAGAAAATATAAAGATCATGCGAGAAGTGTCAAGTGTTAATATTGATTGAGGGAATGAGTTTTTTTTGAAACTGGTAAGGTTGAATTCTTCATCATTAAGGGTATGCTGGCTACCTCCAAAAAGGGATAATTACAGATTTCCTATCAAATCTATAATCTGGTCTAAATCATCTATACAAAGCTGTTTACACCAAAAAAGTAGAGATACTATACAATTCCATTTAACTTTGTGGATGGAATTGGATCTATCTTCAAAACATCTTCCATTTCTTTCTTTCCAGACTGACCACCATACACATGATGGTATTAGCTTCCACCATCTCTTTTGACTCTTACTCTGCCTCCCCTCCTAATCCAGCAGCTCAACAGATCTGATGTATGTTCTGGCATTGTCCAGTTCATGCTTGTGATGTTGAGAAACAAGTTCCAAATTTGAGCAGTAAACTTACAATGTAGGAAGAGATGGTTATTTGTTTCCCCTGTCAAGTTGCACAAAAAACACCTAGG